TCCCTTTATCCGATACACCCTTAAGTCCTCTGCTGTTCCAACGAAATCCTCTAAGATTTGAAAAAACGCGAGACACTCTTAATGTGTATGGTGTGCACTAATAGCACGACGACCCGTCCGTTAGTGGCGTACTGATGGCTAGTTCCGCCGTCGCGAAAGGGTTAATTGTACTGCTTACTACTAAAAGAAAGGGTTAAGAAAGCCCTGTTTTAAATCGTAACATTGTTCTTGTTGGAATAATTTGAATTTGAATTTCAGTCACGCTCTTTCCTACAAAAATAGCCGACTCAGAATTAATTTTTATTCAAAACTAACGATTTCTTACATGTGTCGCTATTTTAACCCCAACGTGTCAGACTCGTGGCAGAAATTCTGGTCAAGATGTGACGAAAATAATGATATTAGTAAGAAAAATTCATTGCAACCCTAACTTTCTTTCCAATTTGTAAAACCGAGGATTACTAAATGTAGTTAATCTGCAACAGACTCATTTTTGTTATCTGATACAGTACTGAAACGGCAAATGTCTGACGCTTAGATGAATAGTCAAACCGACGATACATTTGTTAAAATCTACAAAAATTTCGACATGTTCATCCCAACGTAAAATCGAAAAATGGGAAAGAACGATCTTCCAATGAGGTCCAGAATGTTCGGAATCGTTCCTCGCCAACTGTTCTCCGCGACAAATAAATTCGTTCGATCGAACGGTATATCGCGAAGGATTTGTAGACGGGCATTCGTCCCTTTTTAATCACGATGAGACACACCGTTCTCCTTCCTCCACTTTTTCTCCTCTTCGTCCTATCCCGGGAAACGCTTCGAATCTGGCGAAACGAAAGGGCGAACGGGAAAGATAAAGGCGAAAAGAATTTCAACTATTAAATTATAGAAAATTACGCTTCCCCGGACGTCGCGACGTCGGTCTTCGCTTTTTCTTCCAGCCATTTCTCTAGCGCCAATCCTTTAACCCTCCGTTTCTCCTTTTATTACCTTCGATCCCGTACCAACTCCCTTCTCCCTTCCAGCAGTTATAATTGCGAACGATGAACAGAGGAATCGTTACCTCGATTCGTCCCTTTCGATCGAAATTGAGATGTTGAAATGGTGAACGATGTGTACAAGCGCAGGAAAAATGAAAATTTACTTATTTTCAGCGGAGAAGTCTTACCACGTCTTCGAAATTGTGATAACTTTCTGTTTACCTACGTTCCCTTGTAACAAACTTTTAATATAGCGTTAACGTAAACTTGATAACGGCAGAGGTTGTTAAAAAATTAAGAAGACGATGGGTCAGAAAAGACCCGAAGATCGCACTAGGGTTAAATATGTTGCACGTCGTACTTTTGTGCAATTTAATAGCGTAATTCAGTTTAATATTCTATTGTTCGTTTTATTATAACACAATTTAAGCGAAGCCGGCGAAAAGTCTGTCGAAATGAGATTGGCGGTGAATGTGTTAATACGGTGGTAAACGCTGCGAGTGCTAGGATCGTTTATTTTAGCTTTCAAGACTATCGCAAGATAGAGCTAAAATCGTTAAGTAGCAACTTCGTTGCGGTTGAGAAAGATGAAAGTGCCAGCGGTCCTCACGGACGCTTAATTTCCCCTCTAAATCTATAAAGGTGGTGAACGCTGAAAGTTCGCAGCGTTCCCAGTGATAACGGTGGTTTTTCGACTCCAATTTTAGGATTGGATGAAACGGTCGGTAGAGAGTGGATTACGTTGCGAATTACGAGCGTCGCGTTGTTGTACGTTGATTAAGTTTATTTTGCAGCAGGATTGGAGTTCGATTTCCTACTGTAGTGGCCGAAAAATTAGGCGATATTTCGGAATTTTTTAAAAGAAATCTACGAGATGGATTAATGTGAAACTTTGTACAGTTGTTGAGGTACGTTTCGTGAATGCTCAGTATTTTTTTCGTGTTAATATCGTTATTTATTCAAGAGTAGATTTTTATAAAGCTAAGATGTTGCAATCCACTCGTTGTTCGGTTTTCACGAGCTCACTATGGCAGATTAAAATATGGAGTCGTTGGTCCTGCCATTTATTAACCTTGCTACGGTCTTTTTCAACACATAACGTTCTTACTTCTTCAAGAATTTCTCTTGTTACCCAAAAAAAAAATTTAATAAAACTGTTATTGATACAATACGTTTGCTTCTGTTCTCTTGATTCGGGTCATTTTTAACCCAAACACGTTAATTGTGCAGTTCTAAAAATGAAACTAATTTCCTGTTTTTCAAGTGTCAAACTGCACAAACAGAAAATTTTCCCTTCTTTTCCTTTAAAATCCTCAAATATAGCTCCTCTCGTCATTGGCTTCTTCATCGAGACAAATTCACCACCGTAATCGTTTTACCCAAATTTCCATTCTCGCTCGAAGAAGCACAATTTTCCGTAATTTAAAACATTTCAAATTCTCTTCGCCTTTATCCGCCGAAAAATTCACTCCTTTGTCACCATTTCACCAAAGTAGATCTGTTTTATTTGATATTTACCGATTCTTGTTACCGCCTTGATTCCACCGAGTTACCTCGCGTAATGTGCAAATTGGTTATCTCAAAGGATTCCGCGGCAGCGGAAGATTCGTTTCGTCGGGGATCATTGAATTTGTCAGCACTGAAAGCTGCTTGGATTTTATATTCATGCTTCGAAATGGACCTCGTTAATGTGACATCTGTTATTATTGTAGTATTACGGAATAATGCAGGATAATCTTCAAGGGACACTTTCTACTTTGATATCACGTTTTCTTACTCTTTATGCTCGAAGGATTTAAAGGACGCTTTCTTCCCCTTTGACGTATTAGCGAAATGAAGGAAGATACTTTTTTCGAGATACTTCGATAAAGGAGTTTGTTATTTTATTAATAACGCTTGTTGATAATTTACCGACAACTTCGAACGTCTTTTAGAGATCTTTGATATAACGACTGCGATCGATGTCAGCATTCTACGGATTCATCTTGAAAATATATTCAACTAACTGCAGTTCTTTAAAAATACCGTTCAATTATTGCTTTTCTCAATTGAATCTATCGAAGAGTAGAATAAAATCTTGTGACTCGTGAAAATCTCTTTCGTTGTACTCTTGTCCGTTACAATTGCTTTGTCTTCGCCCGTTACATTATCCTGTGTTCTTTCAAAATTTCATATTTTAATATTTGAGGCGAATGAAACAAAAGCCGAGGTCGCGTTCAATTTATTTTTCAACTTAAATTTAAATTTATTTTTCGACTAAAATACGAAGAATACGGCGATGCGGAAGAATAACGTAGAACGTAGAAACTGAATCAGTGTAAATAGAAAACTTTTCCTCGTACTCGTCTGGAAAAAGAAGGGAATAAATGGAAATAGAAAAAAAGAAAATAAAAGAAAATCCTAGAAAATTCAGCGAAATTTTTGAACTCGCGTGTTCAAGATTGCAACTTCGAACGAAGGCTTAGAAGAAGAATCAAAAGACAGAAGAAGAAAGAATGAAAATCATTTCTAATCGAAAAATATTCTTCGTTCAATTAGCGAAAAAATTCATTGGGTTTCGTAACGAAATTCGATCGATCGCGTTGTTCTCGCGAGGCTAGTACAGTCGTCGATATAATCGTAGTATCGAAACAATCATTCAAATGGTACGTTAATATTAACGTTGCCCCTAGTATCCTCGTTAATATCGAACCATCGAACTAATTAACAGGTCACATTGCGGCGGTCAATTCATTTTCTCTAATCGAATTAGACGGGCTCGAGCGTGATACGAAATGAGACGAAACCATCGGCAAGACAGACGTTCAATATCAAAATGCAGGTTCACATAATTAATCGTTTCATAGAACAGTTCCGTTTACGTTAGACGTTTCACTCAAGTTCATTCTTCATTAGTCGATCGCGTGCGTATCGTGACTAATGATCCGTTTTAATTCGCTTGATTAATTCTAATTTGCGTATTAGCGTAGGTAGAACGTTTCGATTAGTTCCAAATTCATGCCAAATTCCGAATCATTTGCAATTGTTATCGGCTGTAATAATTACGCCTCATATTCACAGTAATTGTGTTAGTGAATTGAAAGAAGGGAATTTTTGAAAATTCCTGAAAGATTTAAAAATACAGTGAAAGATTTACGAGATGGTTACTCGTGTAACATTTTTTAAGTACTTCAGTTGGATTGGATAATTGAAGTTAATTGTTGAATTATGAATAATTAAAATTTTACTATTATACATCGTTCAGAATGAGAGTAACCTCGCTCTCGGACCGATTCTCGCCCAGAGAGCGTAGCAGAGGGTAAGACGGAGAAAAACGTAGGCGGTTAAGTGGGGGTTTGGACGTTCTAGTGGTTCTAGCCGTGCCTTAGGCACGTCCCATACGCGAAACGAGGTTACTCTTACTTTGAACGATGTGTAGCAATTTTTCTGTGTGTTTGACCAAATATTAATGAAATATTTAATATTCAATAATTAATAAATAGCGATAGATCGATGAATTTTTTTGTAAGTTCAATTCTAATATTCCACCTCGCGAAACAACATTAACAAATATAAAAACTAATTCCTTGTATCTATTCTTCCAAATCTATTTATACTAAATCCGCATTTCTTCGCAAAATTATTCTTCTTCGTCCTTCTATCGCAGATAAAATTCTCTTCTGTTAATTATTATAATGGAATAACGAAAATATATGATTCGTTTAAACAAAGGCATTGTTTGCTAAAAACTTTTCTCCCAATCATAATCATCGTTATTAACTAACTCTTATACTACTATACTTCAGTCCTAAAGCTGACGTGTCCAAGTGAAAACTGATAAATCTAATCCTTACGAATTCTCCACGATCATGCACAGTAAACGTATCTTAGAAAAAGGAACCAAGAAACCTCCAGTATCGGGTAATAGTACAAATTCGGCGAGATATGTGTGTAATTGCGTAAAAAGTACGGCGATACGCTTGTCGTTGAAGCTTCAACGAAGATGTCTTTAACGATGAATTTTTTCTTGATTTTCAGAGCACGCCTGCAAGGACTTCCGGTGCACCCAGAAGGAATTCTGCATCGAGACGGACCTCCTTTGTGACGGCGTGAATCACTGCGGCGACGGCTCCGATGAGGCTGCCTCCACCCTCTGTGCCAGTAAGTTCTAATTACCAGCGATTCATTTTAGAGACCCTCCCTGGCGGCCGCGGGAGGGGGAGGAAGGGCGAGGTCCTTTCATATTTCAAATGAAATACGCCGCGGGCAAATTGATTTGTAATCGTACCGCGATGGCGGCCGAGGATCGTCGAATTCTTGCTTGAATTTCTACTGCTTAAACTTCGATTAGCAGTTTTTCAACAGTTTTTCAGCAGTTCTCGAGGACTCGCGAGATATTCGCGTGGAGGTGTTGTTTGTCACACTTGAGGCGGATTTAACACGTTGACTGCCAAGCTACGAGATAACTCATGATTTACTCATGATTACTTATGATTTCCAAGAATTTAGGGCTAGATTATTTAATAAGAAAACACTCTTATTTTAAAAACGACGAAATTAGACGACTAAATAACTTGGTTCAATACGAGAATGTTTGTGCTTCGTTTAATCTATATTCACAGTAATTAAATCGAAAATAAAAGAATAAAGAAAATAAAAAGTACTAATTCCGCTAAAAATATTACTATTTTATAAATTATTCGTTAGTTGCGAAAATAAAATCCACAAATCATTAAATGAAGCTTCTAACGAGTTCGTAGCAGCTTGAAGTTTCCATTGATTTCAGCTGAACGGTTTTTCCAAAGTAATTGACGTAATACTAACCATAGTGAAATAATAAAGAGCGATGATCTTATACAAAGGGAATTTCAGAGAGAAATAAAATGTATAAAGGGGATAGAGAGAGAGAGAGAGAGAAAAGACCGAATGGTCCAGATTGGCGTTCGCCATTTCACGAGAGGTATTTTAATCAATTTCTCCTTCCATCAATCGGCTGTTCCTTTATGTGTAAAATCAATTTTAGCATCTAACCTATTGATTGTGGTCCACATTTGAAACGAGCTATTCGAACAGCTGCGCATTAATGCCATAATTGTTCGATGTCCTATTCAAGAGTATTAAACGAACTCGTACGAAAGTTAATTACTTGGTCGTGTTGATTAATTGTCCCGGCAGATGGTTTCGCGTAAATATTGTACAGTTCGCGGCACGTTCAGAGACGGTCGCGAAATGTAGACACAACGAACGCGTAATTTGATAAGTAAATTATGACAGATCGAATGTTCGATTAGGACAAGATAGATATGTCTCTTTTTTTCTTGGATCGTTTATTGAATAATATTAAATTTAGACACTGATGCGTAAATAATCGATAAACATTCCTGTGTTACGCTTCATTCATATTCATCCTACCCTATTTATGAAATTAATATTCAATTAATACATAATCGGTACGTTATTGGGCGTAATTATTCCCTGTCTTCGTGACTGTTATTTATTATCATATTATGGAGGCGCGTTATCGTTTGTCAAAATACAACGCTATCGATCAGAAATTTGAGATAATCTAGCGCGAGATACGGGATAGATCAATTTACGAAAAATGAATTTTCGATAAATTAAATTGTTAACGAGAAACGAAGTGTCTGCTTTCTGTTTGAAAATTAACCCTTTTTTGTCATTATTATGCAAGAAAATTTCTTCTCTTCCTGAAATTATGTTAAAAAAAATTTGATTCTCTTATTGGGATGATTTTTGAAGCTTTTTTAAAAGATACACTATCTCGTTTCTCAGTATGCAGTTTGAAAACCTAAAAACTCATCGAATCAGTCATTGAAGCATCGAGCGCCATAAAGAAAAGCGTGAAATTCCCTTCCAGTGTCCCTAATTCCCTCGTAGCTCATTACATCAAAAAGTAATCTCTATCTGAACAATCGAGTCATGGACAAAACATGGCCAATGGCTTCGAGTGAAATTTCTTCTTTTTTTTTTTCACCACTTTCGCGACGTAATAACGTGTCGTGCGATCCCCAATGATAAAAAGTACACGCGGCGCGCTATCGATCTCCCGATTCAACGAAACTGCGTGCACGTCTGATTGTTAGAGGGCGGTTTCTGTGTTGGCTGTTCGCTGGAACACATTGTACAACGCCCCAGAGAATTAATTCTCTTCCGTTGTCAGTTGACCTGACATCTGGCAGCGAGATGAACTGCCATTGCTGTTTTAATCGAAAGAAGAAAGGAAAGCCATCAGCGTGACGTAAATGGCTACTTTTACGACAATGCTTGTTCGAAAGAATGATAAATTTATACGTTTGTCACGGGTGGATTAGGATAATTTTAGGATAACTATAGGTCAGGGATCTAGATCAATCCTTCGTTTTCTTTGTTTATGCATTTTTGTCACTTCTCTCGGATTTCACAAGTTCATCTAAATAATTATAAAGTAATATTTTTGGTTGTTTATGAAAAGAAGAAATAAACAGGAAGAGGATAGGCAGACGAAGAAAGAAAAAGTAAAGCTACCTAGGAAACTTTTTATATTTTTAGACTAGTTAGAATTTTTTTTATTTTTTCCTTATACTAATTTTGTAAGTAAGAGGGCGAATGATAGAGGTGATAAGATCCTCATGGATCCTCCTAGTGGTCCTCCTGGCCTCGGGTTACAATATTGGTATTACCAAGCAGTAATTAGACTTAGATTAGAAATTGTAGATACAGGGTGGGCCACATAAGACAGGCAGAAAATTTTTCCAAAGGATAAATAAAATGAAAGAAATAGCAAAGGATGAAAGAAAGTTGCACATTTGATTAAAAATTTTAGAATCCAGCGTCGTTTTAAGGTCACATTATTATACATGCTTAAATGCCCACAGTAGAAAAATATATATACATTCGTATAAAAAAAAATATAGAAGACCTTGAAAAAGAAATAGAAAAAAATGTTTCTTTCAGCTTATTCACCCTTTGAAACCATTCAAACTACGCATAAAAATTTTCTCATACCACCACTATAGCTGAAGAACATAATTAGCTGGCCTGTTTTACACGGTCCACCCTGTATAGTACTTACTAATAGGAGTCTTGGCGAGGATTAGGGGCCAGTAGGAGGTACCGCGACAAATAAATTCTAATTAAATAATTCTCTGCTTGCCTGTTTCAGACTCCGAGGCATCGACGATCTTGGGCATGCAAACGATCTGGTTCGTGATCTCGATCGTTATTCTGATCATGTGCGCGGCAGGTATGGTCGTGTCGGCGATCCTCTGCTTCTACAGGCAACGCGCCGCAACACCGAGACACCCGCATAACGCGCACAACGCCCAGACTCATCCTCCAGTCAGCTACCCATGTGAGTCACAAAAAGCACACTCGTTCGCGTGTCCACGCAAGTCCGTTCTCCTTCATGTGTCGTTTGCTCAATGTGTGCGTTCGTTCTTGAACCATTTTCACTACTCACTCTCATTTTTTCGTACTTTCGATGAAATTTCACGCGTTTCGCACTGAGTAGTGTACGGTGCTCAGGAGTTTGCCCCTGGGGCAGCACAGGGGCATCAGGGGCATTTTGCTCGCAATATTTTTTAACCATTTTCACTTTGTGTCCATTTTCACTATTCACTCTCATTATTTCGTCCCTTCACAAGCTGCCCTGAATACTGTGCGGTGCTCAGGATTTTGCCCTCGGGGCAGCACAGGGGCATCAAGGGCATTTCGCTCGCAAATCACGAATCTTCGGCTTCGCGGTGCTAATGATTCGATTATTGACAATAACGACAATACGTGTGCCCTATGTCTAAGATTGTGTCAGAGAAGGTGAGTTAATGGGGATATGAACCAATCAGACCCACGATTCTTCCAAGGGCAAACTCCTGAGCTCTGCACAGTACTCGTTCGATTATTGACAATAACGACAATACGTGTGCCCTATGTCTAAGATTGTGTCAGAGAAGGTGAATTAATGGGGATATGAACCAATCAGACCCACGATTCTTCCAAGGGCAAACTCCTGAGCTCTGCACAGTACTCTTGGAACATTCGTGTAAGACGGAGGGCGAATTAGTCTTAGCTTCTTTCATGCTTGACTAGGATTGAAAACGTGAATAGCAGAAGGTAGTATCTCTGGTTTCTTTCGTGGAATTCTCTTTTTGGAGGTTGTTCGTTTGGTTGCAGGATAACGTAAGGAAATTGTGGGTTGAGGATAGATCTATTGAAACGTAGTTTGTATGTGAATACTTGAGTTATTGGATGTTACTGGGAATAGAGGAGTATGAAGTTTCACTTGTTAACTGAACGTGCTTTTCAGACAAAAATGAAATCTCAAGCAAAACAAAAATTTGGTTTTGTTAACAGTTCTATTGAAAATGAGAAATCTCATCGATGATCTAACTCATCTTCCCTAGTTAAAGAGTACGTCGATTATATTTCTCTTCTTGATATGTTTCTAGAAATTTTATCCAGAAAGGTCTATAAATTGTCAGTCACAGAGTATTATTAGGAAAATTATAAAAATTTAACTGCCGCAGGACGTAATAAACCTTTTGAAAATCAGTACTCTGTGAAAGCTACTTTTCAGCGTACAATTTCGCTATTATTATTCGAAAGTAACTAAAAGTACCAAGGGAGAACGAGACCAGTTACGATATTAAATTTGATTTCTAGCCGGTTAAACGAAATTACGTCTAATTAGCATCTAAAGGCAGGTGTCTTGACAACGTGTCTTGAGGTAAGCCGAGCATTGCATAAAGGATGCAGAACCCCGTTTCAAGCCCGTAAACTGTATAATTCGACGCGACGTAGAAATACCGTGCACGGTTTTAATAGTTGGTCGCGTATTAATTCATCAAAGGGGGTGACTAATTAGTTTGGCGCGAGATTAATTTAACAGAAACGCCAGGTTAAGCTCAATGAAGGTCCGTGTATGAAAGCTTTCACAGTTCACGCGGAACATGTGGTTTTTCTTGTGAAAAGACCGAATTAGAAGGATTAAGGTAATTTACATTGCGTTCCAGTGATTTCACGCTGATGCGACGCAGGTATTGGATCGTTTTAAACGTAAAATAATTGGGAATTCGTAGAAATTCCAGTGCTTACGTTTCATTGATTTCTTTCCAAGTATTCATTTCCTGATTATTCTGCCAGCTTACTAAACTCTTCTTAACAACGGTGATCTCTGTAAGGAAAATGGAGGAGTTTGTAACGACGGTGAAACAAAGGAAAAATGATCCATAAACGTTTCTTATGAATTAAAATATATTTATCGCGATCGGTAGATTGTTTAAAAATATCCATTGTTATATCCTCTATATTTCTATATAAGGCAATAGTTCAAATTTAAAAATAACACCAATTTTTCTTTCTCCTCGTATTTATTTACAAAAATGAAACTTTTTATTTTCCAATCTAAAAATGAAGTTTTCCATTGAACCAGCCACTGTTATAATAATTTGTTATTTACGTTAATTTGCCTGCGGATACATTTGAAAAAGTACGTATTACCAGACGTTTTCGTTGGTAATTACGATTGTACGATTACGTTGACGTTTTAAACTTCAAAACGAAATTTCATTTGACGAGATAAAAATGAATCGTCGTTCTTCCATCGAATTCGTGAGATTTCTTCAAGTCAGACGAAAATCGAGCAACACACATCTGTTTCTAATTCGAGCATCGTCGAATCGGTTTAAACCGCTCTAATTACGTCACAAAAGTTAATCAATTTACACTTGTGAGAACTACGCGGTCCCTTGGATCTCGTATAAGTTTGGCTGCTAGTTTCAGTTACGTTTCCTTGTCTCTCCTAATTGTTTATTACCCGACTGTGCTTCTGAAGTCGTAGTATGCTTTAGAATTTAGTGTAACAGAGTTGGTAATGCAGTGCAGAAATTGGTGCACCTGAGGCTACACTACACGGCATTTAATAATAGGTTTCCTTGCTCTGAGAATACAGAACCGTCATTTGCGTACGTATTAGATTGGGTTTCCGTGTTGTGTTTCCTTGTTAGTTGGAGCAAGTGCTTTGCTTCTTTTGACGGAGCACCGCGATCGATTATTCTTCGTCTTCAATAGATTTCGCTCTCTTTCAAAACTCGTTTCAAACGAATCAGCCTTCGTCCTCTTCGCATCAACGTTATTAGTTGTGTCGAGTATTTCTTGAAGATCTCTTCGTTAAGTCGGGGTATTTAAAATATCTTTTTTTTCACTTTTCAAGGAGAACAATTGCAACGTAAGTAGTCTAATTGTATTATTTTATTTCATCTGTATTTCTTCGTACTTTAATTTGTGGGGCATGTAAATGAATTTGAAAGTAGGATTGAGAAAAATTGCATTAGGTGGCAAGTGTTTCTATTTTTATTTTGATATTTCGTTCTAGAGTGAAATTTTCTCATTTTCGTGTTCTATGCTAAGTATAATTATGAAAGATTAGCTAATATTTGAGGTAAATTATTTTTCAGTAAAAGTAGTATGCGTTCGATTTGATGTAATTATTAAAATTTAATTTGAATATATAGAATGTTCAAATTTACATTCAATAGTGCAGCATACTTAAATGAATTTTTCTGAAAAATTATCGAAAGAAATCGGTAAAGTTAATTTTGTAGGCTTTTTGGGGACGGTTTATGGCTTGGCCTGCGCCTCTTGGCGAGTGACAAACACCAGACCCGAGTACCCATCGGTTCGGCCCAGCGTTATCTTTGCCATTCGACGAGAGTCGGTTCTTAGCTTCGGTAATAGACGGACGCCGAAGAGTCCGAAATAAGCTACTTTGCACGGCATCCTAATTTGAATAAAGTTCATTAGACCACCTCCTACAATTTACGTGACGAATTGTTTAATATATCGAGTGGTGATCAGTTTCGTAGATTGGAAAAATGATGCTTATCGATATGACAAGTGGCAACAAAACAGTGTCCCTTTAATAACCCATATAAATACGTATGAACGAAAAAATCGTCGATTATTTTAGCGAAAAGTTAATTTACTGAAGTTAAAAATAATTTCGCTAAAATTAATATCATCGAGTAATTTAACATTCTCTAATTAGGAAGTTATATTGCAAGTAATAACAGGCACTCTGTATAATTTTACAAATTAATTAAAACTAATTTTCGTCGAATTTTTGGGACAGAAAAAACTGTATTTAACGTTACGATAAAAATTCGCGACGAAGTTATTGAAATAACACCGAGCATAATTGATCGAATTACAAATTCTGGATAAAAAAGGAGCACGAGAAGCATTGCTTTCGAGACTCCAAAACGGAGAATAACTTCACAATCTCTACTTGCGTGTACACTTTGCGCAGTTCTGAAACCCCATTAAAATATAACATTGAATCGTTGAACGGTAAATTACACCGCGATTTAAGAGAAAGCAAGTGAAATGAAAAGAGGACTGGACACATCCCGTCACGGGGGGATAAATCTTTTCTTGGCTCTGTGAAAAGCTGTAATTTAACGGAGTAGCGGTTGAATCTCCCCATTTACTTTGACTTGGAATCCACGAGTCTGTATGTAATTTCATTCGGTTAACATGGACGAAAGGGAGAGAACCTTCCTCGAAAATTTATCCTCGCTCTTCTATGTAAATGCAAAGCAACCGAACGTCTGACCGGTAAATATCCTCCTAACCGATCATAAATTTTATGATTCACTCTCCGCATGTTCTGCCTTTTATTTAACCGTTTATTTCTTTTTTCTTCCTTCGTTCGAATCTACATTACAGTAATCTCTGTATTAACCTCGCGAGCTCGATGCTGAAATTTATTATTTCCCGTATCCTTCGAACGGAAATTACGGCAGTGGGAAAAGCAACGTGCGCCGTGTAATATATTACGGGGACACGTTTTATGGGTTCGTGTAAAATGGTCGGCGATAGGTGTCTAATAGATTCCCAAAGCGACAAAGCGTGCTTTATTTTTCACCAACCAGTGAAATACCGCTGGAAAATAAAGCCGGCGAAATCACGTGAAATTTGTGTCACCTCGGTGTATTATACTTGACGCGGGGCGATGTTGTAACGCGCGGGGCGAGAGAAAATGGAAATTACCGAGTGCTGTAATTTCGTTGTTCGAAAGTGTCACGTGTGTAAGGGAATTCCGGTGAAATTTCATTTCTTGTGAGAAGGAAAAGTATCAAGGGTGGTTCATTTTTGGATGGAAGAACTAGAAATTTGGTATTTAATTTGGGGATAATTGTTTTTTTTTTTTTTTTTTTTAAGAATATTTTGAGGGCATGTGAATTACATAACAGTATGAGAAATAAGGAAATGTAATTTATTAAAGGAATTTAAAAAGTAAATTTCGAGCTTTCGTTGAATTTAACCGCGCCACACAAATTCTTCGCTGCAAACGCGGGAATGTAGAGATTTTAGAGACTAAACTGATCCACTTAAACTCCGGACGATTATCATAATATCAGCGAAAAACGATATTGACGCGTTCACCCGAATCACCATATCGTATAGTTTCATCGCGCTGTATAATTTTCTATCTGAATCGCGCGAACAGATGCGTTTCGAGTTTTACGGAATTATCGAACGAAACGAATCTGTATCCCACATTTCTCCGTTCCGTGAAAATCGCTACTTTCCCTTTAAATTTAAGCGCTATTTTCAACGATACGCAATTTGCAATGATTACCGGTGTCTCGTGGTTTATTTTCGAGACCTTCTTTGTGGGATCTGGTAAGACGTAAAAATTCGAGATACATCTGGGAAACTAAAAATTCAGCTCTAACTGTGGGAAATTTTCGAAAGGTTTTACAATCCTAAATGCTACCCAAGCGATCTTTTAAATAAATTTCACATTTTTGTAT